TGTTCTAGCATAACTCTAGAACGCCTCAAGCAATTTCAGCCAAACTTGGTACACAGAGAATAAGCTCTCTGGAAAAAAAGACTGTAGGGGTCAGACACTCCTAACACTCCTCGGGGTGTGTGTTAAGATACAGCCTGTTATACTTTAAAATTGCTTCTACTGTACTGCCTTAAAATGGCTTCTACTGAACAGCACAGTGGAGTTGCCATGGTAATGGCTTCACAGTACTCCACAAGGGGCCTCCCTCTGGTAAGGGGAAAAATCCAACATTAGAAATTACGTTTGGCTTTGTTTATTCTTGAGGACAAATGTATGGCCATGATCAATAAAACATTACTGCAACTTGGCCTGCCTGCACCACTACGAGACCGACACGACATACTTCACATAGATTACATATGAGAAAAGAACTACAACATCAAAAACCTTAGTGTATATATCACGGACAAGAAGCCATTTCTAAATCAAGATCAGAAAAAAGCACACCAAATGATCATAGATCAGCTAGCAAAACAACAAGGTGGTATCATTTTACTTGATGCTTCTGGGAGCATAGGGAAAACATTTTTAACTAATTTAATTCTCGCCTAAATCAGGGCTCAGAGTGAAGTTTCTCTTCCTGTCTAATATAGGATTGGGATAAATAAATAACAGGGCAATGCCGGGTTAACAGCTAGTATTTATATATAAAGGAGATCACCGGGTCTACTACTGCTGGGAGCTCCAAAGACTCCAGGACTGTTGCCAATTGATGCTTGTGACTTCACTTCCTCTTCATCTGAAGACATTTCCCTAGCAGGACCACAACATGTATGGAAATTATAATAGTGCATGCTCGATATAGTTTTCAAGATGCTGATTACATCTGCACACATCTGCATTTTGATGTTTTAATCTTCTATATAAAAATAAATGTCTCTATAAATGTGTAGATATCTGTATTGTGTAGCCTACAGTCTGGACTGAATACCTCCAAAATGTTGCCAAATTTCTCTGTCTGATCAAGATTGTCTTCATCCATATTACCCTCTTATTATAAATGGAATCTTCCTGTACTCCTTTGCTGGACAGCTAGTCTGAACTTTGTGTTTTCAGTTTTATAAAGCAGCTACAAATAAATTACAGTGAAATAGAATATATCAACTCATTATCTGATGTCCTGTCACATATTCACTACACATTCCTGCTTTTCTTCTGCTATGATAGGCTCAGGCTGAATGTATAACAGATAATAACTTTTTCATACAAACAGAAACTTTCCTATAGGAAATTACTAAAAAGTAAAAAGAGGGTGGATGGACTGGTAGAAAAAGAGACTGCTAGCTACTCCTAGTATTGTAGTTTGGGAAAAGAGAAGATGCATGGCAAACCAAGATGAATTGGTACCCTTGGCTGCTGATGGCTTGTCTGTTCCAGAGGGTTCAGAATGGGTCAGTGTGGAGAAGAAATGCAGCAACGGACATGTCCTTCAAAAGGTAGAAAGTTGAAGTACAGAAAAGGATCATATCCTGCCAGTCTTCAGAGAATGTCATCCAAGCATAAACTCTAAGGGTTAACATAGAATAACAGAGTTGGAAAGGGCTTTGGAGGTCATCTAGTCCGACCCCCCTGCTCAAGCAGGAGACCCTATACAATTTCAGATAAATGGCTGTCCAGTCTCTTCTTAAAAGTCTCCAGTGATGGGGCACCCACAACTTCTGAAGGCAAGCCATTCCTTTGAGTTATTTTATTAATTCATTCATTCATTCATGAAGTGTTGAGGTGGCACAGTGGTTAGAGCAGGGGTGAAATGCTCCCGGTTCAGACCAGCTCGGGCGAGTAGGTAGTGAGATTGGGGCTAGTTCGCCAAACCGGGAGAAATGGTTGGCTGGCCACGCCCCTGAACCGGTCCATGGCCCGCAGTCCTGCCATGCTTGCCTGCCTTCCATGCTGCCTTCCTGGCATCCCGGTGGCCAGCTTGCGAAGGCAGGCAAGCAGAAGCCCACGTGGAAGGCAGGCAAGCATGGCATGGCTGCAGGGAAGGAACACGCAGTTTACTCACCCCCCCCCATCCCACTCAAGCAGCGGCTTCCCTGCTCAGCCCTGACAAGCTATGCATCCATAGCAATGGAGTTGTTTTGTTCGCCACGGTGGTGCTCCGGGAGGACAAGTGGACATATTCATTATAGTTGTCAGCTGCAGATGTCCGCCTGCCCACCCGAAGTACCACCTCAGTGAACAAAACAACCCCATTATGCTGCGCCTCCTTCTGCAGCCAAACGCGCCCAGCCGTGCATGCCCTTTCCTCAAATGGGCTGTGCATTGGGCGCTTGGAGAGAGAGAGAGAGAGCAAGAACTCCAACCTCTGTGTGTTTGTGTGTGTGTGTGTGAGGGAGGGAGGGAGGAAGGGAGGGAGTGATCTGAAGCCGAAGCACCCAAACTTCTGGCAGCAGCGCAGGCAGCTTCTGAGCAGTCCTGAGTCAGCTAGCTCCACCTGACCTACTCCCTGAGTCTCGCTGTTCTCCTCGCCCTCCCGCCTCAAACAGCAGCAGGCTCTGCGGGACAACAGGACCTCTCATTTTTCCCACAGCATGGCATACGCTTGCTACCTCTGCTTGTCTGCTTGCAAGCAATGATCTTCTCTGCTTCTCTCGGGATGCTGGTGCGGCACCATGGATGCATAATTTGTTGGGGCTGAGCAGGGAAGCCACTGCTTGAATGGGGTGGGGGTGGGGGAGAGGAGAACGGCGAGACTCAGGGAGTAGGTCAAGTGGAGCTGGCTGCTCAGAAACTGCCCCCACCACTGCCAGAAGTTTGGGTGCCTCAGCTTCAGATTGCTCCCTCCCTCCCTCACACACGCACACACACAAACACACACAAACAGAGGTTGGAGAACTGTCTTGCTCGCTCGCTCTCCAAGCGCCCCATGCACAGCCCATTTGAGGAAAGGGAAAGCAAGGCTGGGCACATTTGGCTGCAGGAGGAGGCCCAGGTGGAAGGCGGCTTTTTCAGCAGCATCCCCCTCCCCTCTTTGGATCGCCCTGCAAGGGGGAGGCTCTGCCTTTGCAGAAACGGGATGGGCGGTTTGTATGGAGGATTGGTGGGGGGGGGATGCGTGGCCCTCTGGGATGAAGAGCAGGGCAAGAGAAGGCTCCAAGGTTCGCCTGGGCAGTCAAGCCGGAGGGAAACTCAAAGCACTGGGGGCTTCAGAAAGACAGAATGTGCTTTTGTGCAGCTCCTGGCTTCTGTGACATTCTGTGAAAGACAGAATGTGCTGCTGTTCTGTGTCAGAATGTGGAGCTCCTGGCTCTAATGGTGAGTGACGTGAATGACGTCAAACTGGCCATGCCCACCTAGTCACATGACCACCAAGCCACGCCACACCAAGCCATGCCCACAGAACTGGTAGCAAAAAAATGTAGATTTCACCCCTGGGTTAGAATACAGTACTGCAGACTACTTCTGCTGACTGCCGGCTGACTGCAATTTGGCAATTCGAATCTCACCAGGCTCAAAGTTGACTCAGCTTTCTATCCTTCTGAGGGGAGTAAAATGAGGACCCAGATTGTTGGGGGCAATATGCTGACTCTGTAAACTGCTTAGAGAGGGCTGTAAAAGTACTGTGAAGCAGTATATAAGTCTAATTGCTATTGCCATTCATTTATTCATTCATTCATTCATTCAATATAGCCACAATTGCATGACTGGGTGGCTTAAAGCTATTAAAAACTACAAACAGAATTACTGCAACCTTAAAACCAGTGGTGGATTGCCCCTGGTTCGCACCAGTTCTATAGAACTGGTAGTAAAATCAATGGGAGGCTCCGCCCACCAACCCCAATGTCATCAAAATGCTTCTCCGCATGTGCAGAAGAGTGTGCATACACGCGAAGCAAGCGAGCGTGCATGGCCCCTTTGCGAACCGGTAGTAAAGGTAAGTAGAACCCAGCCCTGCTTAAAACATATTTAAATATATATATAAAACCATATTTAATTATATATATATATATATATATGTGTGTGTGTGTGTGTGTGTGTGTGTGTGTGTGTGTGTGTGTGTGATAAAACCCGCAACTGAAGTCTAAAACAATCTACATTCTTTTCTTTTTTTTGAAAAAAGTTTTTTATTTTTATTTTTCATCAACATGTTTAAATGTACAATCTTTTATCCATCCTTATCCATTGTTCGTTCTTCTTCTTCTTTAACTTCCATTAGGTAATTAATTAATTATTTGTTCGGGTCTGCTCTTTTACCATTTCCTTCTTTTGTTTTACTACAACCTACTTTCCTACTTCCTTTCCTCTTTCCCCTCTCCTCTCTTCTTCCTCCCTTTCTTACCCTCTCTCCTGCTCTTCTTTCCCCTTCCTCTTCCTCTCCTTTTCCCATTCTTCTTTTCTTTTCTTCTCACCTCCAAACTCCCCTACTTTCCACTCTGCTCCTCCCCTCTTTTCCATTCCCTTGTTGTTTCCTTTTTTAATTCAATCTGAGATGGTATTTGAGCAGACCCAATTTCTATTTACATACGTCTTCATTTCCAATTTCATGATACATGGATTGATTAAAAAATGTACAGGAATACTAGAGGAATAATAGTAAAGTAAAAAATTAAATTGGAAATTAAAACAATCTACATTCATAACAACCACACCGTAGGCTCTACTGCACATTCAGATCCCCAGCCACAGGGGTACAGCTATATCTTTTAAGACCTTATGGAATACGATTGGGGCCAATCTGGTATGTGTAATAATAACAGAGACAATCTAATCAGAATGGTATTACTTTGTATATAAATGGTTTGGAGCTCCTCTTCTATTGGTTGTGCATACATGCGTGTACTGAGAAACAGCCCCTGGGTCATGTAACCAAAAGGGAGGTGGTCTTAGAATGGAGCAGTTGGCAGCATTCCAAGTTGCCACCCATTTTCCGTTGCCCTTGGAGAATTTGGCAGGATTTTTTTCCCCCTCTCTGCAGTCTGTGGATTTGGATCTTGCCCATTTTCAAACTCATTTCCTATAGGAGGAAACTCCCAGTTCCTCCCAAACCAGATTTAATTCTTTGTGGAGTATACTTTCTGGGTGGGTGGATGGACAAGCAAATGGACAAAGTCCTAAGGTTCCTTACATAGCTTTTTATAACATTCTGCTGGACTGGAAAGAGTAAAAAAAATTAGGGAAATCATGCAGAGCAGGGCTTCTGGAATTTTTTTAACTCCTTAAAAATAGCTCTGCTTAAAGTGAGGGAAGGAAGAAAAAGGAGGATAACAATGGAATCACTGGTAACATTCCAAGCCAGTGGTGGGTTGCCACCGGTTCACACCGGTTCTATAGAACTGGTAGTAAAACCGGCAGGAGGCTCCGCCCACTGACCCTGACATCATCAAAACGCTTCTGCGCATGCAGCCCCATTGCGAACCGGTAGTAAAGGTAAGTAGAACCCACCGCTGTTCCAAGCTATTGGTCAGCTGCTGCTCTAATAGAATTGCAAACTATTTTCTTTTCTAGAATGCTTTCTTCCACAGCCCCACCTGGTTTAACCCATTTTTAACTTGATCTTTCTTATGCCAGCCTCTGCCACCTGACAACACCTGTGATGTAGATTTGGATATAACAGAAGGAAGCAACGAAAATATATTGTTTTTTGCTCTTTGACTTTGATAATGCAAGTAAATATATTTTGATTGTTGGGATTAGTGAAGTGAATTAAAACAGCATCTTATCATCTTTATTTCAGTAGTATTATGACTAGATATCATCACTGCATATTATGGAACAAAGAATTCAGAAGATAAAATGAATAACATACGTCACAAATTGCAAACAGCAGAATCTGATCTTTATAAACGGAATTTGAAATGTACAGCCTTTCAGAAGACAACTAGTCTAGTTTTGGAGAGCTCTCTTGCTGATGGGCAAACAGATGGACAGAGTCCTTGGTCCCTTTATAAAATTATTTTCCAATATTTCATTGGTTTAGAAAGAATAAAATTAAACTACATGGACTGAATAGTTTGAGATTACTAGTTTGAGACTGGGAACTATTCCCACTATGTACTTAATTCCTAGCCCCTTTTTGGTTGCTGATAATATTTTGCAAAGGTCAGCTAAGCTACAAATAGATTGCATCACATTTTGCAATCAGACTCCCTTTGCTAATCCTTATTTACTCTGTTTAATGATTAATAATGAATTCTAACTCCAAGAGCTGTATATAAATTTCAAAGATATTTGTAATTCAGCAGAGTGCCATAAAATACTTTTGGAGAATTGTAAGTATCATATGCAATTTTCCTGTATCTTAGTTTATTAATGCTTCCTGCAAGATGTCTGCTTTCTGCTGTGGATTAAAAACCCTAGTTAAAGGTAAAGGTTCCCCTTGCACATATGTGCTAGTTGTTCCCGACCCTATGGTCGGACTCATTTCAAAGCCAAAGAGCCAGTGTTGTCCGAAGACGTCTCCGTGGTCATGTGGCCAGCATGACTAAACGCCAAAGGTGCACGGAACTCTGTTACCTTCCCACCAAAGGTGGTCCCTATTTTTCTACTTGCATTTTTTACGTGCTTTCAAACTGCTAGGTTGACAGAAGCTGGGACAAGTAAAAGGAGCTCATCCCATTATGTGGTACTAGGGATTTGAACTGCTGAACTGCCGACTTTTCGATTGACAAGCTTAGCATCTTAACCACTGAGCCACCGCATCCCATTTAAAAACCCTAGGTGACATCTAATTAACCTCCCTGCCAGGATAATGATTTCTGTTTATAGGATGGAGGACAAATTTACTCCCTTTCCTTCCTGCAACCGCATACAGTATATGCCCTTAAAATATATTTCAGAAGGTTGCATATATCCTGCATAGCAGTTAGGAATAGGTCATCAAGTCTCAAGAAAAGAAAACAGAGGCCATCACATTCCATAAGTGGAAATGCATGTAAGCAACATTAATCAGAATGAGAGATATCTTCTCATGTGATTCAGAATGCAGACAAAATTCAATTGTATTATCTCAGAAAAGTGCAGTTGCATGACGCTCATGTCACCTACTCCCAGTGCAACACTTCTTACCCAATAGATGGTGAGAAATTTCCCAAAAAACGTGAGTTTGGGAGAACCTGATGCCAATGCAGCACTATTCAATCTTGAGTCAGAGCAGAAGTCCCTTCTCCTGCATAAAAAGGCAGGCTATCAGGCTATCCTGAATGAAGGCTTAATGCTGGCTTCTGAAAACCAAAAAGAATTTTTCAGATAGAGTGCTTAAATTAATAGCAAGCTAATCATAGATTCCCCCCCCCTCTATTATAAGAGAAAAAGCAGAGTTTCCTAGTATTTTAGTAGGCTTTCTTTTAGTAGACGCCATATGGGGGGAAGTGCTGGAGCACAATTTGCCAGTAGCCTTAAGAAATGGAAAGTAGTCAGCATTAAAGTTGCCTGAAAAATGAGGATTAGAATCCTCATAAACAACAAGATAAATATAAAATGAGCCTTTAGAATTTCAAACTGTTATAAAAACCCAACTATCTGGTCAAAAATGTATATTATTGCTTTAAAGAAAATGATAAAATGTGCAAATTTTTAAAAATATTTAGAACAATGCAGTTTTTTGTTTTGTTTTGTTTTTTGAAACCGCTGCTATTAAAATGCTGAAAGCATCATTTTGGACATATTATATATGTGTGTGTATTAGAAGTTAATTTCACAAATGTGTATATATGCAAATTTGTGAAATTAACTTCTAAAATTCTTTCTTATACTAATTTCAGGAAAGCTAAATTAATTATGCTATGTAAATATATAGCTATAGGGCAAAATCTACCATTCTTACAGAATTCCTATGTATTTCTGGATTGTTCCTCTAATATCTTCTATAGGGACTATTAGCAGAAGATGTACAATGAAGTCCATCATCAATTTCTTGTTACTGATTAGTCTTCAAGTCTGTTGCCATCAATTTCCAGAATATCCTGATCACGACCATGTTCATAAAGATAAAAATCTACACAGACATCACGAACTTCCTTTGGCAGAAGAAGGGGAGAAATACCTAAACTATCATAAGATAGTTTCCAGTAATTCTGAATTTGCATTCAGATTCTACCAAGAAATTGCTTCAGATGCAGCTGACAAAAATATTTTCTTCTCTCCCTTCAGCATCTTGACAGCTTTTGCACTGTTGACATTAGGTGCCAAATCAGAAACCAAGAATCAGATTCACAAAACACTTGCTTTTAATCTCTCAGACATTGAAGAGAGAGAGATACATGAAGGATTCCAACAGCTCATCCATGGACTTAGCCATACGAGCCATAAAGTCCAGCTGAACATAGGCAATGTCCTGTTCATTGAAGAATCCTTGAAATTATTGGCTACATTTTTGGAAGATGCCAAAACCTTTTATAAAGCTGAGGGATTCTCTACCAATTTCAGTGTTCCCAGACTGGTTAAAAAGCAGATCAATGACTATGTGAGAAACAAAACTCATGGGAAAATACCTCATGCCGTTGAACATCTAGAGCCAGGTACTGTGATGGTCCTTGTGAATTACATCTTCTTCAAAGGTAGGTAGAAGAACAGTTATTTATAAATGGATCCACCTTTCCTTTATATCTTTCCGGTCATCCTATAAGAGGATGACTTACAATAGTAAGCTATAGGAATGGGGAAGCCTTTGTCTGCTGGACTACATATTACTAAAAGGCTGCCAGTCTTGTACTGAGAATTTTATAGAAATGTAGTAATAAAATTCAAGTATCTGGGGGGAGAAAAGAATACGAAGTCCTTTAATCCGGGTCACAACGAGAACGGCAGGTGACATCTATGCTGACTCGAGTTGTTCTTTCCTTGTGAGGTTACCAACGGGCGGGGGTTTGACAGTTTTCCTTTTCCTGAACATTTTCTGAACTATCTATCTATCTATCTTTATCTGTCTGTCTGTCTATCATTCAGGAGTGTCAAACTGGCAGTCCGCGGGCCGGATGCGTCATGTGCAGGCCATACCCACCTCAGCCCCACGAAGGGGGAAAATGTCACGATACGTCATGTGACGGCAACGGGATGCTGCGAGGTTGACACTCGTGATCTATATCATCTATCATCTCTCTCTCTCACTCTCTCTCTTCTCTCACTCTCATCTCTCATCTATCACATTTCTGAATCTCCCATATCTCTTAAAGAGGGAATTCAATAGTTGTCAATCTATAATTTTATTTTCTTGTATCATTTTCTCTTCCAACTGCCCTCCCCTCCAATTCTAATTTCTTAAAGTTTTCAGAGGCTTGAATATCGTTTTCCCATTACTTACCTGCCTCTGTTTATTTCTTTATTTGAAAATTGTATGTGAATTTTGCATAACACACTTCCAAACCTAGATTTAACTGTTAGAGATATATATTGTCGCTGATTTATAGATTCTATCTACCCCCCACATCACTTCTACTCCACCCTCTCAGCCCCCGGACACACACGAGCTGCTTTTTTATAAATTCACTTGCTGTCTCAAGCTGTAATCAAATTGGTTCTTATTAGACAAGTTTTTTTTTTTTTTTTTAAAAACCCTTTAAACTTCAAAAACTATGTATCTTTGCATGTTAGGAATGGAATGGAATGGAATGGAATGGAATAGAATAGAATAGAATAGAATAGAATAGAATAGAATAGAATAGATAGAATAGAATAGAATAGAATAGAATAGAATAGAACAGAACAGAACAGAACAGAACAGAACAGAACAGAACAGAACAGAACAGACAGAATAGAATAGAATAGAATAGAATAGAATAGAATAGAATAGACCTTGGAGGTCTTCTAGTCCAACCCCCTGCTTAGGCAGGAAACCTTATACCATTTGAGACAAATGGTTATCCAACTTCTTCTTAAAAACTTCCAGTGTTGGAGCATTCACGATTTCTGGAGGCAAGTTGTTCCACTGATTAATTGTTCTAACTGTCAGGAAATTTCTCCTTAGTTCTAGGTTGCTTCTCTCCTTGATTAGTTTCCATGCATTGCTTCTTGTTCTGCCCTCAGGTGCTTTGGAGAACAGCTTGACTCCCTCTGAACATTCAGTTCTTTGAATGTTTTGCAGAAATCCCTTTAGTTTATTCCCAAATGTTTGCTATTCACCTTTTTGTATTAGGGGAAGTTAGCAGGATGTGAAAGCCCAATGTTACAGCATCATGTACTGCCTTAGAAAAGTAATCTTCTATGTGATTTCAAGTTATGGAACAGGAGCTTTTTGGTACAGGTAATTCTCTCTTTCTGGCTGCCTCATTTAAATACCATTCAAAGTTACAACAGTTGGGGTGGGGGAAAGCTTAGCAATCAATCCTCAAATTTACAATGGTGATCTTGTGATTACAATTACCATTTGCATGCTTCATAACCAGCTTCTGACAAGCAGAGTTAATGGAGAACATGGGAACGAAATTACAAGTCTCAAACTCATGATATCTCATCTAATAGTTGTGGTGATTCACTTAACAACCAAAGCAGAAGTGAAGCTGTAAATCTGTCATGGACATGTGATGATTCGCATAGCAACCACAGCACTTAACAATGCAGTTGCAAGTCCTGATTGCAATTATTAAATGAGAAATACCTGTAGTGCTAGCAACTGAAAAATTTCAAGTTTTTGAAGTTAGGAAGGGAATAGTTAAAATATTTTTTTACAGTTTTGTTAAAGTGAGTGATTTCTTCAACAGTGTTTGTTATGTGTTGTTGCTGGCTGCTATTTTATGTTCACTATGGTTTGGGATTATTGTTTTTTACTTTGTTTTTAATTATTAGCTGCCCAGAGTCATGCAATTGAGATGTGTGGCCATACAAGTTGAATAAATAAGAGCCTTGGTGGCGCAGCAGACTAAAGCACTGTTAAGTAACACCAGCTGCCTGCAATTACTGCAAGTTCAATCTCACCAGGCTCAAGGTTGACTCAGCCTTCCATCCTTTCGAGGTAGGTAAAATGAGGACCCGGTTTGTGGGGGCAATAAGCTGACTTTGTATAAAAAAGAACACCGCTTGGGAGGGGGGGAAAGCCCTACTAAGCAGGTATATACAAAAGTATGAAGGCTATTGCTTAAGGCATTGTAAGCCGCCCTGAGTCTCTGGAAAAGGGTGGCATATAAATCGAACCAAGAAAGAAAGAAAGAAAGAAAGGAAGGAAGGAAGGAAGGAAGGAAGGAAGGAAGGAAGGAAGAAAGAAAGAAAGAAAGAAAGAAAGAAAGAAAGAAAGAAAGAAAGAAAGAGAAAGAAAGAAAGAAGTTATAAGGATTTCTGCTTTATAATATTAAGGGAGGTTTCCAAGGATTGCTGAGGAAAAAAAGAATATGTTGAAAAATTAGCATGCCATCTTTGCTCTGCATGTTTCCTCAGAAATAAATTTGCACTGAGTTCAATATGTTAATGTGGAGAATATGGATTAATTAATGTTCAATCCAGCATTAGAGAAAACCTTTTATGTTTTGACCAATTCATTTTCTGGAAACATTTGGTTGCATGCCATGATCAGAACTCCCTGCAATCAGAGACTCAACAAATCTCAGGAAATCCTAAATGCTTTGGAAAAATTCCTGGCTATCAGACAAGATGATAAAGCACACAGTTGTAGCCCTTCCACACACTGGCTGACTGAAAAAAATGAAATATTAGTGAGTAATTAATTCCTACTTTGGGGGAATTAATTATTCTATTCAATTCAATTCAAATCTTTATTGTCTGTGCACAACATATGCACAATGAGATTGGTTGAGCTCCCTCGGTGCACACCCCCCCCAACACAATACAACTCACAGTGAAGGCAGAAAATCCCTAACCCAATAAATCATATTAACAAAACACCCAGTCCTATTGCACCAGTGTGAACATGTTACACATTGCGCCGGCCCTGCAGTTCATCATACTACATAGTTATGATGTTATTTCTCATTCAGGAGACTGACAGCCCACGGATAAAAACTGTTCTTCAGCCTGCTTGTGCAGCTGGCTATGCTTCTATATCTCCTTCCCAATGGTAGGAGGGTAAAGAAGTGGTGACCAGGGTGAGAGTCATCCCTGATTCAGATTATCCCCTATCTAATCTGTGTTTCCCCCATCCCACAATCACTACCCTGTGTTTTTTTTTCTTCTTTTTTCGAGCTTCCTGGGAAAAACCTTTTGACACTCGTTTGACCAGAAAAAAAGACTTCTTTGTAGATGCAAACACAACAGTGCAGATTGATTTGATGAGACACTTAGACTACTATAACATTTTCCGTGATGAAGATCTTTCTTGCTGGGTGGTAGAAATTCCTTATAAAGGAGATGTTACGTCATTGTTTATTCTACCGGATAAAGGGAAGTTAGAACAGGTGGAGGCAGCTTTGGTGACAGAAACCCTGTCAAAATGGACCACCTCCTTGACGTATAAGTAAGTCTTGTTACAATCCCTTTTCTTCTAAATTTTTATTTCTTGAATTAATTTGTTATAAAATTAAACACTTTGATGTTGTACAATAATACATTATTTCTGACAGCAGGCCACTGAATTATCAAGTCTATATTAAGCAGAAAAATATTTCTTTGATTCCTTCTAGTTATCTAAAAGGGCCAATCTAGATATGACACTAAATACAGATAGTCTTTGACTTACAACGGTTCCTTTAGTGACCATTCAAATGCCACTGAAAAAAGTGACTTATGACTGTTTTTCACACTTACAACCATAGCCATGTGATCAAAATTCAGATGCCTGACAACTGACTCCTATTTAAGATGGCTGCAGTGTCCTGGGATCATATGGCTTAGGACTGGGGTATCTACGAGACCGCCTTCTGCCACCAGTAGCCTCTCACCGACCAGTACGCTCCCATAGAGAGGGGGTCCTCAGGGTGCCGTCGGCCAAACAATGTCGACTGGCGGCCCCCAGGGGGAGAGCCTTCTCTGTGGGGGCACCTGCCATCTGGAACGAGCTCCCCCCGGAGATACGGAGGATCCCGGACCTGCGCGCTTTCTGCCATGCCATCAAAACATTTCTTTTCCAGCAGGCCGGCCTGGCCTAACCTCTCTTTTAAACTTTTTTTAAAAAATTTTAAATTTCTAAATTTTAAATTTTTCTTATGAATTTGGGGTGTTTTAAATTTCATTCTCTGGGCCAATTATTTAATTGTATTTTAATGGTTTTTTAACATTTGTATTATATGTATTTTATTTGGCTGTTCACCGCCCTGAGTCCTTCGGGAGTAGGGCGGTATACAAATTTAATAAATAAAATAAAATAATAAATAAATATAATCACCTTTTGTGACCTTCTGACCAGCAATGTCAATGGGGAAGACAGATTCATTTAATAACCGTGTTGCTAACTTACCAACTGCAGTGATTCACTTAACAATTGTGACAAGGAGGTTTGTAAATTGAGGCAAAATTCACCTAACAAATGTCTCACTTAGGAACAGAAATTTTGGGCTCAGTTGTGATTGTAAGTCGAGGACTACTTGTATGGGTAAGCACCAAATAATTTTAATTAAAAAATATATTTACACCTAAATGAGATATGGCTATGGAATTTCTTGACGGTTGACCAATAATTGCGATGACCATATTCATGTGGAGAGAGAGGGAGGGAGGGAGGGAGAGAGACAGAGACAGAGAGAGAGACAGAGGGGCGAGGAACCAAGCAGCTATCTCTCTGCATGGTATCTCTGCCTGCAAACCTTTCTAAATAAAGGAGCTGGAACTGGTTCAGGGTGTCCACATGATTCCCATGGCCAAGTATCCTTACTTAATTAGTTTTTAATTCATAAAGAACTTTCCCCAACATATTATATGTAAGGAACTTGAAAAAGAGGCATTGCCAGCTCATTGTGTTATTTAATTTTCTCATTTCTTTTTCTCCTTTTTTTCTTCTTAAACAAAATAAGATAAATACAAAATAAATAAATAAATAATATATTCATATATATATAATATCTATCCATCTCTACTGCTTTTAAACTTTGAATGCAATACAGTGTAATGGAACTGAAACATAATAAAACTGAAAATATAATATTTGGATTGTTTTCTTTGTTTTGGTTAACCAGAAATATAAATCTGCACATTCCTAAATTTACCATTTCTACATCTTACAACGTCAAAGACTTGTTACAAAGAATGGGAATGACGGCTATCTTCAACGACACTAGTGACTTATCTGGAATCACTGGAGAATGCAATCTGAAGGTTTCAAAAGTACGTATGGGAATGAGGTTGGTGGTTGACTGGCTGATTGCCCTTTTCCCTGAATCAAATATTTTCAAAAATCTTTCTTTGTAAGGCTTTATGCCAAGGAATCTGAAAAAAAGTTAGTTCTAGCTTCCATCTAAAAAAATGTGAAAAACTCTTGAGAAAGGCTGTCTCATTCTTTGGAGACTGTCTGTTCAAGTCCCTGCAGTTTTCTTAGCAAAGTTTTTTATTGCCTCCTTCCTAGAGCTGAGAGAAAGTGACTGGTCCAAGGTCACACAGCTGACATCATATCCAAGAATTCAGGGTCCCCTGCTTTCTAGCCTGATGCCTTAACCACTATACCAAATGGGCTTTCTTTAAAAAAAAAGGGGGGGGGGTCTTCTTTCAAGAAGCTGTTACTGATATACAATTCCTCAGCTTTTAGTCTTTTTGTGAGTAATAAGGAATAGAACAGAATAACAGATTTGGAAAGGACCTTGGAGAGTTTCTAGTTCAACCGCCTGCTCAGGAAATAAAATTAGTTCACATTTTAATGATAGCTTCTCCAATTTTACAATTTTAACTCATTCCATGAGCCAAAATCAAGTCATTTCCCTGATCTGATAGCAATACAGCTATCCATTAAAAAAATACACCTGAAAACAACATGCATACAAATGCATAAAATACAGAAATACATTTTTAAGTTAAAAATGAGCAATTTAGACAAAGCTGCAAACAAAAAGTTTGAAGTAATATGAAAACAAAAATTTGGAGTAATATGCCCTCAAATATATATAAATTGTATGGCTAACTTATTTTTTTTAAATGCTCAAATTGACATAGAAAGAATAGCCTATATTTATTAAGGAGAGACAGGGAGAGAGAAAGAGAGAAAGAGAGAAACTGAGAGAAACCAAAGTAGAGAATTTTTCTCACTCTCAAATGGAATTCCACAGCTAAATATAGGTAGAGGAACATCAATCCATTGCGAGTTTGGCTTTGTATGCATTCATTAAAAACCCTTGGTGTAGTTTTGCTCTAAATTTGTTTTTAAAAGATGCTTACTTGATCACTATATTTTAAAAAAGAAGTTCACTCAAATTCTATTCTCTTATGCATGCTTTTCCTGAGAGATAATAGATAGATAGATAGATAGATAGATAGATAGATAGATAGATAGATAGACAGACAGACAGACAGACAGAAAGTATATATATATTACTTTTTAAAAATATATTTCAAATTACAGTTGTGTGAAAATAGAAAGAGAATTGCATTCCAATTCATGTACTAATAATAGCATAAAAATACAGAGCAAATTAGACATCCAAGTATTTATATTTAAATTGAATAGTATTTGATGCCTTAATTACTACACCAAATTGCTCTCGTGTGCTAACAATACTCAACTCATCTCAGGACAACCTAGTTGACAAAGATCCTCTTCAACTCATGAACATGAGCACAAAAACCCTTATATATAACAGCTTCCAACATAACAAAGTCATCAAAATAAATATCAGCACATATGTTTGTGTCATGCGCATATGTATGAATACACATCTCCCACTCTTTCCCCAAAACTCCCCTCATAAATTGGATGTGGTGACCTTCCAAGATGCCAAAGCATTGGCCCTGCTAATTTCTTTCACCAGATATATTCTAACCTATACATTTTCCCCCCCAGTTTTTTTGAGTTTTGGATATACAAGGTGAGATGCCTTAATACCGAAAATGATTGTGTCAAACAGAATAGTTATTTCAAGGAACTTTGGTGGAAAAAAAATCCTAAAACAAAGATTATTACAATATTCAACTGTAACTAATGTAAGGTAAAGCTTTTATTGGTTAAAGCTGTTTTCTCCCTACAGGCCATTCATAAAACTATGCTGAACATTCATGAGAGTGGTACGGAGGCAGCAGCTGTCACTGTTATACAATTTATGCTACGTTCTGCTAAAATGAAATCTTCACTTTTTATCACATTTGACAGACCTTTCCTGATAATAGGTATGGCTAAGCCAACGGGCAGCATCATTTTTCTAGGGAGAATTATGAATCCGGCTGAACAATAAATATTAGAATATGCCATTCTGTTCAGGTAATGATAAAAATACCTCCCTAAAGCAATTGGCTAGGTCTAGACTAACAGAAGAGAATCTGCAATTGCATTATAATTGATTGAAGCCAATTTTTTGTGAGAGAAATAAGAAAACATCTTCAAAATATTTTTACAATAAAATTCTTGTTAAAATCTGTTATCTTGTAGGTTAACCTTCTGTATTACCATTTGAAAATCTGAAGCTAATTTCTACTGTTGGGAAAGAGCAATTCTAATTGCCACATCTCAGTACAATATTCCCGTTAGGAAATGTTTGGCGGGGGGGGGGGGGAACAAGCATTGGACAATTCTTCCATGAGCCTTTTTTTTTTTAATTTGATTTATATGCCGCCCTTCTCCGGAGACTCAGGGTGGTTTACAATGCGTTAAGCAATAGCCTTCATACTTTTGTGTATTTTATACAAAGTCAGCTTATTGCCCCCACAATCTGGGTCCTCATTTTACCTACCTTAGAAAGGATGGAAGGCTGAGTCAACCTTGAGCCTGGTGAGATTTGAACTTGCAGTAATTGCAGGCAGCTGATGTTAATAACAGTGCTTTAGTCTGCTGCGCTACCAGGGCTCTAAGCACATACTTTAAGCACATACAGGTATATGAAATATGACAGACGTGTATACATTGTACATAATATGGAAATAAATACATTTTTGGCTTAAGCATGATGACTCTTTTATATTCAGAAATAAATAACAGCAGAAAAGGCATCTGTAAATATTTCTGTGTCGCAACTGATCTTTAACTATACACATTCCTGTTCTAAATATGATGCTATCAGAGCATTAGTATTGGTGTTCATAAAATATGTTTTCAGTCCAGAACAAAATAGTCTCACAGAAAAGTTTTTGAGGTAACTGTTCCTTTGGAACAAAACTTGAAATAATTTGAATGATCTTTGTACTTTGTATTCCTGCACCACTGTTTTTCACCATGGGATTGCAAGAGTGGAAAGGTGGATAATCCCAGCTAAATGCTGCTGACAATCCAATATGCAGATAATTTGGCCATGGGCATGATTTTTAAAAAAGTTTTTAAAATAAAATAAATCCCATATAAAACAATGAGAACACAGTTCCACTCTAATTAACTGAAAGATTTGTTTAAATGAACAGTCACACCCCTCAACATAATTAGAATCCTTTCCATTTTCTTAAATAAATGCTATAGATTGTTGAACCAGCTGATCACAGGTCAAAGACAGCAACACAAATTTAAATATTCCTTTCAATTACTTTATCTCCTCTATGAGATTTTGTTATGAAATCATATTAAAAACCCCTCCCTTCTTCCCTCCCTCCCTCTCTCCCTCCCTCCCTCCTCCATCAATCCATCCATCCATCCATCCACCTACCCACCCATCCATCACTAAGACTTTCTTACACCATTTCCCCAACATCTGTGACTGAACTACCCATTTTTCATAAATGGATATCAGGTGGCTCTGGAGGAAAATGCTGCTTATGACTTGGTCTTGTCGGATCACTGAATTAAAGCCTTTTCCTACACCATTTCCTCAAATATCAGGTGACTGGACTGCCCATTGGCAGCATACTCTTGTTCTTTATGATGGCTAAATTTTATGTGGAAGTCGATGAAATTCTGTCTGTATTTTAAAGAGAGAAATAACAATCCTGAAAGTGGGAACCTGATGTGAGCAATGATTAGGGAAACAGTTTTTATAATTATTAGAGAAATGAGGTTTATTTACTGAAACACATTAATAACCCAATGGACAAAGTGCAGGCTGCCAGGCGCAAATAAACAGGACTATTCATAAAGGTTGCAGCATAAATGATTTATTCAAGCCTATACACAAGAATCTAATCAACTGTCAGAATTAACTTGGATCTCTTGTGGCAACATAAGGATTCTAAACTGTAACTCCACCCGCCAGCTCTCTTGCTCTTCTACACAGGCATCATTACAGTATAGATTAAGAGGGGACACAAAGAAATCCTTAACTCTCTATTTTATCTAGTCTGACACCTTGTGGTCAATAGATTATGAGGTGCTAAGGTTCCTGTGTTATTGGATTCATACCCAATGACATATACTTGGAAATTGGTAACTAACCTAATCAATTGGCAGACATTACTGCTATTCCTGCAAATTGTTTTTTGTCTGAAAAAACGTGTTCAGGCCTGATAATAGCAAAATAAAATACAGAAAATATTAATAAAACATAAAATGCATAACAAATATAGAATTCTTTATTGGCCAAGTGTGATTGGACACACAAGGAATTTGTCTTTGGTGCATATTCTCTCAGTGTACATAAAAGAAAAGATACATTCATCAAGAATCATAAGGTACATCGCTTAATGATAGTCATAGGGAACAACTAAGCAATCAAATCATATTAGGAAACAGTCAATATAAATCCTAAGGATACCAGCAACAAGGTTACAGTCATACAGTCATAAGTAGGAGGAAATGGGTGATGGGAACGATGAGAAGATTTATAGTAATGCAGACTTAATAACTAGTTTAACAGTGTTGAGGCAATTATTTGTTTAGCAGAGTGAGGACGTTCAGGAAAAAACCATCCTTGTGTCTAGTTGTTGTGGTGTGCAGTGCTCTATAGCATCTTTTTGAGGGTAGGAGTTGAAACAGTTTATGTCCAGGATGTGAGGGGCCTGTAAATATTTTCACAGCCCTCTTTTTGACTCGTGCAGTATACAGGTCCTCAATGAAAGGCAGGTTGGTAGCAATTGTTTTTTTCTGCAGTTCTAATTATCCTCTAAAGTCTGTGTCTGTCTTGTTGGGTTGCAGAGCCAAACCAGAAAGTTATAGAGGTGCAGATGACAGACTCAATAATTCCTCTGTAGAACTGGATCAGCAGCTCCTTGGGCAGTTTGAGCTTTCTGATCAAGAATATGATCAACATTTTACATTAAAACAATAAGGAAAACTTTTGAAAGAATGCCATACTAAGGCGTAGGGAAGTAGAAAAGATCGAAGGGTGAAGAGAGAGGTGGAACAACAGAAAAAAGTATCTTCAGACCAACATAAGATGACTCTTTGCAAATGATGCCTTATCATAGAAAATACAGGTAGTCCCCCGCTTACAAATATTTGTTCAGCAACAGTTCAAACTTATGATGGTCTGGGGAAACTGATTTATGGCCTATCCTTACACTTACAACCATCATACCACCTCCACAGTCATGTGATGAATGTGGTGATTCACTTAATGGCTGTAGTAAAAATGGCTGTAAAATCAGGCCTAGTCACATGATGACTTGCTTTACAACCGTACTGATTTACAATGGAAATTCTGATCCCAATTGTAGTTGTAAAATGAGGATTACCTGTAAGGAAGATGAGCTTGATGGAAACATGCCGGGTCTGTTACCTAGGTAAAAGGAGTTGAAAGGTTATTTAAACTCTGGGAAACAAGATAATATTCAGAAGTGACTCAGAGGAATAAGATAAGGAACTCCCTCACTTTTTTCAGCCTCTCTTCTTGGATTGATGCCAAGCACACTATTTCAAGAGGAGATTGGCAAGCTGAGGCTTCCCAAGAAGTATTTCATATTAGGATTGGATTTCTGGCATTTGTTGCTGAGGAACAACCAGTTCTTTTTCCTGGCTGAAGTTCTCTTCCAGTTGGTGACTTTCCCCAGCTTGTTCTGCCCCAGCTACGGATCCCAAAGAACACAGCACACACAAAGTTTATACAAAACTTAATTTACTAAAATAACTCAGTCTTTTTCAAAACAAAGGCTGTTAATAAACTTTCTTAACAGCCTACAAGAAACCAAAGATAAAGTAATCCCAATCTTACGAAGGTTGTAGAAAGCCCAGAAGCAATTTGCAGAGAATCCAGACGCGAAGTAGAGTGAACTAAAGATGTTCCCTACAAATTGCTTCAGTCGGTATTCCTCCTTAAATAGGCTAAGAGAGTGGCCAATTAGCCCCAAGCCTTACTCTCGAGGAGATCTCCTCCTGAGGAGCCACTCCTGTCTTTTGGCCGCTCTGCATGCCCGTGCATTGAGAAGAGGCTCCTCCTCTTCGCCCTTTTCACTTAGAGGAGCTTCTGGAGCTTCTGAAGGCCCTGGCTGAATCCCTGCCTCTGGCACCACATCTTCTCCAGCCTCCTCATTGTCTCACTCAAATGCCAGCTGCACAGGCTGCTGACGCAACACCACACCAGCCTCTTCGCTGTCAGAATCAGCTACAATCCACACAGGCCGCTGATCGGCCACAACACAGCTAGAAGATCTCACTGCTGTTGATACTCTCCTTTGTCCTTAGTTTATATAGTCTGATTCTTTACCCAAGGTATCCCCTCAAAAATGACTCCTTTCTTACTTCTCAGCTTCACTGAGTTTGCCCAAGGAGTGTTTAAACAAACAAAAAATCAAGGACTAAACCTGTAGCAGACAAGTCATAATAAATAGAAATATGCCTGTAAATTCCAAAACACATGAACAGACACAACCATAGTTTCAGCTGGGAAACTGTGAATATCCTAGAACAAGCTAAATCCAAAAATGCTAGGGAATTCCTGCAAGCTTGGCACTCAGACAAATTAGCCATCAACAAACACATAGAAATAAACTAAATTTACAGATCATTCAAAAAAGACTATTAAAAAGTTTTTTTTAAAAAAAAGGAAACAAAAAGAAAAATACATCCTCTCCAGTAACAAAAACCCAGATAAGCAGGGATTAACACTAAACAAACAATCAAGAAGAAAACAATATTTTAATCAAGGCACTACCAGAAAGAAAATCACATCCCCATCAACATTGTCAGGATAAGTTTATAAACAAGGGGCAAACTTTGCACTCACTAGCACTGAAGACATTACCTAATTGGTTAATGAAACATCTGCAGGCAAACAACCAAGCTCAGTGAGCACCATGAACCCTACAGTTCAACCCTAAGTTAAATATTATCTTCTATTGATAAGGAGTCTAGAATGATGGTTTCAAGGTTGGTTGAAAACACTGCATATATTTATTATAGAGAAGATGTTGGGAGCCAAATTGTATGTCTTCGTTTATCTCAATAGTTGTAATGTAGAAGCAGGGCAGAATTGTTCAGAGTTGCACCTTAAGAAATAAAAAGAAATAATAACTTTAAGCTATAAGAAATAGATTTCTGTTGGACATAACAAATGATTCCTAAAGGTAATAATTATTCAATAATGGAACCGCTTGCCCTGGGAGATGATGGACTCTCCTTCACTGGATCTATTTCAACAGAACCTAGATAGATACCTGTCAGTGCTCAATACTGTAATTGTGAATTCTAGTACTGGGCAAGAGATTGGATTAGATGATTTCTTGAAATCTCTCCTCCTTTAGGGTCTTTCCTACTCTGCTGCCTTTCAGATACCTTTGGACTATTGTTAATAGAATTTCTGATGATATGGCCAAATAATTTACGGTTGAGCCCTGCCATTTGTACATCTTTCAGTGCTCTCTTTATCTTACTTGGAATTCTGTAACTCAGTTGCTAATTATTACTCAACTATACAAATATCTATGGCTGGTTGAACTGGTAACAGTTCACAGTTGTTTGTTCAGCTTTCAGTAAATAATCCAGCTGGTCTAAATTCTTATGGTCATATGTCTTACCAAATAATATTTTTAAATGCAGTTTCTTTATAACATATACAAAAGTGCCTCAAATGCTTCCACTATTGAGCTTCTCCAGTCTGTACTATATAAACTTTTCCAATATTTATAAGATTCTAATTGATTTAATTTCCCAATTGTATCATGTAGAATGATCGTGGCCCCAAGTCAGTTAAACTAAGTCATAGCAAATTCATCCATAACATAGCCATAATTATTTATCATGATGCTAAATAATGTTTGCATGTTCAGAGTTATCCTAATCTGATTAAGAAACAGGCACAAAATATTAATGCTGCACTAAGGAACATCTTCTGCACTTCCAATACATTACTGGTGTTGCTACTCGGTAAAAAAGACTACTATCCTTATCAGGCCTTGCTTTCTTCCTGCAGGAACATTCTTATGATTGAACATTATAAGTTATCATTTAGAGAGGAGCTGGCTGTCTTCCATTTTCAGGAGAAGAAGCTATTGTTCCAGCTATGTTTTTGAGATGTCAGAGGAGCAGAAGATTGGAGGCTATTTTTATGACATTTTCTCAGTCTTGTGGAATGGCCTCCTATTAAAGTGTTTGACCCTAACTATAGTCACCTTCCAGAAGTCTCTTAAAATGATTTTTTTCTGATAGGTTGATCAGTTGGGGGCTAATTCCAAATGCATTCTGAAATGCAGATTTTCCCATTTTTTGATGATTGGGTTTTTATACTTTCAATATTATTGTTATTATAGTTTTGATGGTGTGCAATTCAGAATCTTAATATAGGATTGCAACACACACAGATACAAATTTGATTGGTTTTTTTTTATTTATATATTAACTCATAAATTCAGGATTTTCTTCTTCAGTTGAAGCTTTTGTAAATTTTTAATAGGATTCTAATGCTTTAATAAGATTCTAAATGTTCCATTCATGCTGGTGGCTATAAATTTAAAAGAAATTCTATGCAATGGTTTCTATTCTCTTTTTTAATTGTGATCTAACTGAAGCATTCTAACTAGGGGAAAATTGTAATGGAACATTGAACGTATTGAATTATTTCTTTCTTTTCCATCCTGATAAATGCTTGTTGTGTGAAGTAAACTTTAAAAAACGAATTGGAGCTGTGTTCATGTTCCATGCATTCTGGCAACCATACAGGTAATATTTCTGTGACGTGAAAGTACATGCAAAATGTGTTTATGAGGACCCAGGATTCCTCTTCATTTGTACAGATTGAGTACATTTTACATCTATTAAACAAGCAATTACTACACATGCATTGTAGTATGTAGCAGCGCATGTAAGATGCACGAACAATTCATTTCTGAACATCCAACCCTATGGAAGCTCAGTTTGTATGACCATGCCCTGCAGTTTATGTCCAGTCCTGGGCAAGAGGTTAGGAGAATGATGGAAAGTTTCCTCTTCCATTTAAAAACTATCAACAATATCCAAGCCAATTTGAAAAAAAGAAAAAATTAAAAAGGGAGAAGAGGGGATTTTTTGTTCCCTGTCAAAAGAGAGAGTAATGGTCAGACAGGTAGATCAAATGCATACTGTTTTACTAAACATAGTAAACCTAATGAATTTCCATACCATCATTGTTATCATCATCGTGTGTCATGTCTGTAATACATACACATCCCCATAGACACAATTTTTGCCACATTGGGATATGGTTCAACTTTTTTAACTAAGCAAGTCTCTAGCTAGCTAGCTAGCTAGCTATATCAATCATCTAGCTAGCTAGCTAGCTAGCTAGCTATCATCTAATTTCTGTCTAATATCTATGCCTGCCCATCTCAAGCAAGTAATCCTGGGCCACAAACAAACATAAAACAGTTTAAAACAATTACAGTGTAATAAAAATTAAACATATATGGCTGCTGAGAAAAATCCATCACAGATATTAATTGTAGCCAGGAAACAGGAGCCTTCACATCCTCAGCGCCCCAGGACCGGGGAACAATGCCATGTCTTCAAGGACTTATGAAAAGCTAACAGGATAGGGTGGTCCCTGATCCTAACTACTTGACCAGCTGTTAGACAAAGCATACGTACCAAATTTTTGAAAGCCATAGCTATCACTAATCAACATTAAATGAGTTCCTGAACTTTTCATTTATATCGATTGTTGAAAAAGCCTTTTTTTTTTTTTTTTTGGCCAATCTTTAGGCAATGCTTAAAATAAACATCTTTGCAAACCTTTGGTTAATGCTTAAATGAGTATTTCCACATCATTCTGCAATCTGATGTATATAAATAGCAGAAGAAAAATGACAAAAGACCTACTGAATGCATGAAAGTTCTCCATATATACAGTGAGTAACCTCATGGGGTGCAGATGCGGGTTTAAAGTCACTGCATAAAGCTTGTTTTTCTTTTCATGTAGTTTACAAAGTTTATAAATTTGAAGAGACTTCTAATGTTATAAGTGTAGTAATCATGCATATAGTTTGTATTTCTATATTTAGAATTCTATAAAATAGCATTTTAATTGCTTATACCATTTCACTACAATAAATACGTGCATTAACTGAAAAGAAAATATTATTTAAAAAGAAGCAAGAAAAAGAGCGAATAGATTTCAAATTTGCATACATCATTATATGGGGTATATGTGGAGAATGTGTGTGTGAGAGAAAGAGAGAGAGAAAGAGTCTCTCAGGATACAAAAAAAAACAAAACAAAACCCCAGTGCAATTTTCATTGTAATGTAAATTTAACCTCTGAACTGATGTATGTAAAGGAATGCAGATTAACTAATTATTTACATGGAAAGTGGCAGAGAAAATAAATATTTATTTAATACATTTTACATCATAAGTCTACATTAAAAACAAAGAAGTGTAGAACTTTATATATTAATTGTCAATAAAGAGTAGAACAGATGCATTTACATATTAAAAGATTTTATATAAAACTTAAAATTATAGTTAAGAAGACAGGAGAAGAAAACCATTTTCATTTGGCAAAATATAAATACAGAGTCTAAAGCAGGGGTAGACAACTATGGCAACTTAATGAGCTGTGGACTTCCCTTCCCATAATTCCTGAGCTATCATACCTATGCTCCCAAAAGTCCCTTGGGAGTTGGGCGGCATAGAAATATGATTAATTAAATTAATTAAATTAAATTAAATATAGCTAAGTTGCCATAGTTGCCCACCTCTGGTCTAAAGTACTCTGCAACATGTAAAGTTAAAGTGAGGGGCAGGCGACCAATGGCTGGTTTTGTGTGGGCTTCCTCAGAGACAACCAGTACTAAAATGAACCCCTTTCCTATTCCAGCCTGCCATTAAACCTTTCCATGAGCTGAGATAAACTTGTAGTCCTAGCAATTCGTAGAAAGCAAGACACCTTTTTTTTGCAAGGCAGGAAGTTTTACTTTAGGTATATTATAAGATTTTCTTTCCAAGTCAAGTTCTCCCCTTTCTCATTTTTTTGCATTATCTACCTCAAAACTGTGGAAAACAACTCTTTTGATTTTCAGCAATCACATGCTAAATTTTGGAGAAATCCCCAAGGGCTAAAAAATAAAAGGGAGGGAGCTCAGGGGTGAAACAGATTTTCACACCCTAGGGCCGTGATGGCGAACCTATGGCACGTGTACCACAGGTGGCATGTGGAGCCATATCTGTGGGCACGTGAGCTTTGCCCTAGCTCAGCTCCAGTGTGCATGTGCGCGCCGGCCAGCTGATTTTCGGGCCTTCCAGGCCCACCAGAAGTCAAGAAATGGGCCATTTCTGGTCTCCAGGGGGCCTCCAGGGAGTGGGTAAGGCCGTTTTCACCCTCCCAAGGCGCCAAGAAAGCCTCTGGAGCCTGGGGAGGGCAAAAAATGGGCCTACTGGGCCCACTGAACCATCATGTGCCAAAAGCAGGGAGAGCATGGCGGGACGCATGTATATGCGCAGGGGGCGGGGCATAAGGGGGATTGAATTATGGGTGTGGGCACGCACATGCATTGACCCCCTCCCACACTCCCCCCACTTTTGGCACGCGACAGCAAAAAGGTTAGCCATCACTGCCCTAGAGTAACAGGACAAGGCAAGATAAAGTAACAGAGTGGGCAATGCCTAGAATGCACTACCTGACTCTGTGGTTTCTTCCCCAAACGCCCAAAACTTTAACCTTAAGCTGTCTACTGTTGACCTCACCCCATTCCTAAGAAGTCTGTAAGGGGCCTGCATAAGTGCTCCGGCATGCCTACCATCCTTGTCCTAATATTCCTTTTTATTTTTTTACTCTTACCCTTTTCATGTATTCAAATTATGTTTATACTTTTACCTGTTACCTTATATATGCTTGACAAATAAAATAAAATAAAATAAAATAGAATAGAATAAAATAAAATAAAATAAAATAATAAAAGTAAGATACAGAAAGGTAATAAGGAGAACAGGTTTGCATACAGAATGGCAACTGTATAGGCCCTTTCATTTGGAGTTGAAACTCAGGCCTTCTCTCTCATCACCTATTTGTAAGGTACATAAGTGAACCAAATATAGGTGTAGATTCAGCATCTGATAAATTTGTGAGACGCACTCACAAAGTATGGGTGCC